CCTCTCCGATGTGCTCCGCCTCTCTCTCCCCGTGCGCAGCCGTCGTCGACGTTCCTCCCCTCTCTCCCCAAGCCCAGCCGCGACGATGGCCGAGCGATTCCCCGGCGATGGGGCGGCGGCCAACAACTTTGGCCGCTGCTCGCTGCACGAGTGGGAAGCGCACTTGCTGTTCGAGGCCAACATCCTGGCGCTGCCCGACATGCTCGCAGGGCCGAGGGGGGGGGGGGTGGAGGCTCAGCGCCGGCGGCGTCCCCATCCCCCCGCTGCCTGACGGCACTGCACACGCCAACTACTTTGCCGACGAGGTCGATCGCGTGCGGGTGTTGCTGACAGAGGAGCAGCGGGCCCTCCCGCAGTACGTTGCCGGCAACCATGAGGCGTGGGCGGTGTACTTCCAGCACCGGCAGGCGTAGCGGCTGGCCTCCACCAACGGGGCGCCGGTGGTGCGGGGCACCAAGAACAGCGAGGGGCGCCACCTGTGGTGGGGCGACCCCGGCCGCTCGCTTCACGCCGTTCTCCGGCACCTCGAGGGCGGCAACGACCCGCCATTGACGTACCTTGCCGAGAAGGACGGCGTCCTCTTCTTTCTCCTCCTCCCACTCCTTCTTCTCCGGGTTGCCGACGCTGTTCAGCGTCAAGGCCGAGCCCGTGGAGGCGCCACTCGGCCGGTGCACCCGTAGCGGCGGTATCGTCATCAACGAGGGCAGGCGCGCCTGCTCCTCGGCTCCTCCCCGCTTCGTCAAGCCGAAGACAGAACAAGGGCTCGCCGCCTCCGTGAAGACGGAGCCCGAGCTCGCCGCTGCAAAGACGGAGCCGGGGCTCTCCGACGAGGCGGCCTTGAAGTGGGCGCGCGAAGATTGGGCGCGGACGGAGCTGGAGTGCCAGTGTCGTGCCTTTGAACAGTTCGCCGCTCGGCACCGAGGCCGCAACGAGGGAGGCATCGTCGTCCTCGACGATGATAGGACGACGACGACAGTGACGACGCAGCGCCGCCACCGGTCCGCCAGGGCGACCCCGGGAGGGCTCGAGCAGGGGCGGCCGCGTGAAGGAGGAGAAGGACGACGATGACAATGACGATGGCGGTGACGACAGCGACTTCGTCGCGCTCAGCGCGTTCTTCGGTCCGTAGTTGTGCCCTTTGTTTTTTTAAGTATTTTCAGTTTTCTATGTAAAAAACTATTTAAGTCGTCTAAGTAATTAATGTCATGTTCGCCGAATTTTGGCCGAATCTTTTGTCTCGTTTGCCGAATTTTAACCGAATTCCTTTTTGAAGACATTAAAGACGTCTTCTGGGGCGACCCTGGATCAGCGGGTAGGAACCCGAAAGCCCTCAGACCGATTTTAGCGCCGGTTCGTCTTCAGACGATGATTTTACGAGACGCTCGGGAGCCAACGGCTGGATATGCTCTAATTACCACTCGCGCGGTCTCTCTCTCTTTGTTTCTTGGCTCGCAGACACCACCACGCAGGGTTCAGGGAATCCACAGATTTGGCTCGTCCTACGCATGGGGAACGTGTTTTGACCCGCTCGCACGCACGCGAGTGCTTCGGCAAATCGGTGACAGACAGGCTGGTCCCGCTAGGTCCTGGACCCACGCGTCATGGGACGGGTTCATCTGTGGACCGACCTGATGGGCCGAGCGACTAACTAGAACAACTCTAATTACAGCCACACATACAGAATCCACGGCCCACTTGTCCAACCAAAAAAAACTTGCCCGACAAATAACACACATCTGGCTCGATCTTTGTCTCAAAAAAAAAATAATTCTGGCTCGATCTTCGCGTGCGGCACGTGTTGACTGGGTCCCGCCCCCCCGCCATGCACGCAGCCTTAGTAGGAGTAGTTATGTACACTTGCTTGGCCTCGCGCAAATCCAACTACCCGCTCTTCTTCTGCAATGTCCATGGAGATTGGGAGCAACGACCGTGAGGAGGAGGAGGAGGACACTGGCAATGGCAATCCGATGAAGCCAGGTACTCTTCTACATTCAGCATACCCGCCGCCGCCGGGGCTGCTGCGACGAGGAGCACCTGTCACGCACCGGCGGCAGTCCCAGCAGGCTATTCCGGCGCCCTTCATGTCATCCGGGCCGCCCACCGCCGACACGCCGATGCCCCATCATCAGGTTTGTCTGTCTCCTTCAGCTGCTCCTGGTCATATGACATTCAGATGCTGCTCTGCTCGTCCCACAAGATAACAAGATGCTTCACTTCTCATGTTCGGCAGGGGCAGCTCGGTATGTTCCATGGCCAGCACGGCGGATCCAGGCCGCTGTTCTGTCCGCCAGGGAGCTACCCAAGTGCCGCCGATGCCATCGCGTCCAGAAATCAGCAGCGTTTCACCGCCAACAGTGCCGTCTATGCCCCAAGGTACGCACTACATCTATTTATCTATCTATATATATCCCTTGTTCTTCTGACTGACAAATGAATGAATGTTTGGCCTGCAAAACTACAAAGCCGGCGCATATGGAATCCAAATTCAACACTAATGACTATGTTCTACAACGGCACAGTCAACGTGTTCGACGTCCCGGTGGACAAGGTATGGACACGTTAATTGCTCGTGTGGTGAATGAAGAAGCATTTTTAACTTCTTTTCAACTTTGGCAGGCCCGGGAGATTATGGTGTTAGCAAGCAGGACATCTGTTTCAAGCCCACCCAGTGCACTTGCAGTGCAGAAACCTGGTTGTCATGTCTCTGACAATGCTGCAAGAGTGCCCGTGCCTGAGCCGAGGCATGTGTCGGTCATTTCAAGTCCAATCCCCGCCGTGTCACAAGCTCCGACGATCTCCAAGCGCATACCAGGCTACCAAAATTACACCCCAGCTCCAACAACATCTTCAGGCGTACCATCATCAGTTGTTCCACCACCAAGTCAGGCATCCTCAGCTCAACGGATGCAACAAGCATCTCCTGCTGTCGCAACAGCTATTAAGCCAATTGGTATGTACTACTACAAATTATAGTTCACTAGTTATGCACTTCAATTCGCATTTAGAGGTGGTGCCTAGCTAGGAAAGTGTTATAGGAGTATTGATTCATGCTCTTGGTTCAGCTGTCCATCAATCTCGGAAAGCATCTCTCGCACGATTTTTAGAGAAGCGAAAAGAAAGGTACAAAAATATCGCCTGTTAGTTTGGTGACTACACTTTGCAAAAGTGACATCTCCTTGGATTAAATTTCATCGTCGCACTATATCTTTTGCAGAGTTTCAAGTGTCACACCGTACCCATTGTCAAAGAGCCCGCTAGTGAGCAGCGGCACCTTTGGTAGTGCGAGCACTCCAAGCAGGTTATCTAGCGCAGACAATGCTCCACCCAGCAACAACTGCCAAGAGTCTATGAGCAAGGACATGTACAATGGCGCTAGCTTAGGGTGGTTATTGAGTTGGAATGAGAGATAGAGAGATTTTTCTATTGCATGCGATTATTTTTTTCTTTAGTTACATATTTTCTCACGTTATATATTTTCTAGTTTAGTTTTAGTCAGACTATATTTTTAGGAGCAAGCTACCATTAAAAGTTAGAGATAGCAATAAGAGATAAACCATGTTGTATAACATATATTTTTTCTTCTCTAGATGTTTTGCAATGCATAATGGATCTGTATTTATACTGCTTGTTTAGCCGGCGCTTCTTAATGGAAGAGATGTGCGAGTTGAATGTTCAAAGGTCTTACGAATTTGGCTTGTCTACATCAGTTAAGATACATCGTTGTTGTTTATCACAAAGCTACATGTAAGAGGGGAGGATAACACATCTATTTTTTTTTACATTTGCAAAAAATATTTTTGGTGGGCAGGAGCATATGCTCCCAAGAGCCGAATTGGATTTCTGGCAAAAAGAACCTTCTCAAACTCGTTTCGCAGACCGTAAAACTTTTGTACAAATTAAACAACATATTCTTCGATGTTTGGGATAACGATGTCATGTCACAAATAGTAATTGTCTAACATTTTTTTTTGGACGCAGGAACAATAGGACATCAAACTATACATGAAAAACGAAAGAAGTGTCATATCATGTAGCACAGTGTTTAGGAAATAGGAGTCTTTAAAGCTTGTGACAAGCAGATGTGTTTTAAAAACGTCCAGCTGAAATTGAGATGACCATGTTGTGAATCAATTGCAGGGGATTCCTTGAGTCTGCTCAATGCATGTCTTTGGGAGAGAGCTTATGCACATAACGAGGCAATAAACAATGATGAACAGTGTTTGTATACATATGCGTACAGGGCTCAAGTTTTTTTTTCCGGGAAAGGAACTTTCATTAATCAAACCAAATGGTTATATTCGAAGATTACAATGCTAACTATTTCATCAGGCGAACACGAAGCCAGCAAGCAGTTCGCTGTTACGAACGATGACCATCACTGCAATGCCTAAATAACATGGCTGTTTTTACTATCTATGACGTGAGCATCAAGTAAGCTTATTTTAACAATGTAGGGTTCCATGCATATCTCTTCCCGCCATCCCGCATAAACTGTTTCTGCCATGCACATATCCTGAAAAGTGGTGTCTAGAGATCAATGACGTTGAGTATAGGTTCGGGTGAACCATGGTCCCGTACAACATTCTAGCGAGAGTAAGCGCCAACACTACAAGCAAGTTATCTCATGCAGACGTTGCTCCCACTAGCAACAAATGCCCGGATCTATGAGCATGGGCATGTACAACGGCGCCAGCTTACCAATGTCATGTAGGGTGATTATTGAGTTGGAATGGAGGATGAATGAAAAAGAGGTTTGTTTCTCTTAGTTAAGAGATTATGTCGTAGTAGTAGTAAGGGAGGGACCAACATCCTTAACCCACCTCGCGTCTCCCATCCCCTGGGTCGCCTCAGAGCGTGCGAGACCCTAGACGACGATCAGGCCGCCGCCAGCCGCCCTTCCCATCTCCTACCTCCCCTCGTCGTCACCGGATGAGGTCTCTGGACTAATTCCACGTGGCGGATGGCGACGGTGGGGCACCCCCTATTCCGCGGCAGGATTTCTGGGGTGAAGGGAGGCTCGCCCTTTCTGTGGTGCGTGGTGGCGGCTACTACAACGGTGATCTCCATGGCTATGTTCGCGTGGGCTTGCAGCCCGGTGATCCCGCCGACGAGTTGGGGTGGGTGGTGGCCCCCTTCCTACCTTTGGAGCATAGTTTTAAAAATCGAACTGGACTAGCGGTCTGACCAGAAAACCCCCGAACCGGTGCCTTGCGGTGTTTTTTAAGGCACATCAACAAGAAATTGAACATCTAACCTTTAGTCAAGGCATGCTAAAGCCTCAATAACCAACTAGTCTAATACCACTTTGTGATTTATTAATGGTTTAATCCAATATATGTGTTTTGATTTGATGTGATGCCAAAATTTTGAGAAATTACCTTAAATTTTTGAAAGTGCAACTATCCCTAAGTGGTTTTGGTATTTCATAACAACATATAGCTCATTGAGCTAATGCTATTCCAAGATGACTATTTCAGGAAAGCTCAATGATTGGCATGGCATGGATGTGAAAGTGGAACCCTCAAAATGCTAAGGACAAAGGATTGGCTCAAGCTCAAAAGCTCAAGACTCTTCATTTTATATTTTAGTGATCCAAGATCACATTGAGTCTTTAGGAAAAGCCAATACTATCAAGGAGGGATGAGGTGTTGCTTAATGAGCCTCTTGCTTCATGTGCTTAGTGATACGCTCCAAAACCCTCAACTACTTTCCCATATCCACATATGACCTAAACCCTAAGCCAAACTCGGTCCTACCAATTCTTTCTATCCAGCGCCACCGAGTTTCACTTGTCATAAGCCACTGCCAACCCTAGCAATTCGGTTCTACCAATAGGGATCTCGGTCTCACCGAGATGGGATTGCAAACTCTCTGTTTCCCTTTCATAACTTTTCAGTCTCATCGAAAGAGCGAATTGGTCCCACCGAGATTGCAGGGTAAACTCTCTGTTTCCTTTTTGTAACTTTTCGGTCTCACCGAAAGAGCAAATCGGTCCCACCGAGTTTACCTGACCAACTCTCTGGTTAGCTTATTACCAAACTCGGTCTCACCGAGTTTGTGTAATCGGTCTCACCGAGATTATGTTATGCCCAAACCCTAACCATATCGGTCCTACCGAGTTGCATGTCAGTCCCACCGAAAATCTCTAACGGCCACTAGGTTTACCTTTTCGATCCGACTGAGTTTGTTGATTCGGTCCCACCGAGATTGGAAAACTGTGTGTAACGGTTGGATTTTGTGTGGAGGCTATATATACCCCTCCACCTCCTCTTCATTCGTGGAGAGAGCCATCAGAACACATACACAATTCCAACTCATATGTTCTGAGAGAGAACCACCTACTCATGTGTTGAGACCAAGATATTCCATTCCTACCATATGAATCTTGATCTCTAGCCTTCCCCAAGTTGCTTTCCACTCAAATCTTCTTTCCACAGAATCCAAATCCTATGAGAGAGAGTTGAGTGTTGGGGAGACTATCATTTGAAGCACAAGAGCAAGGAGTTCATCATCAACACACCATTTGTTACTTCTTGGAGAGTGGTGTCTCCTAGATTGGCTAGGTGTCACTTGGGAGCCTCCGACAAGATTGTGGAGTTGAACCAAGGAGTTTGTAAGGGCAAGGAGATCGCCTACTTC